GTTAAAGCCATTAGAAAGCCATCTGCGATAGCTAAGTTAAGGATGAGAAGAGTAGTGACAGATTGCTTTCGAGCTCGTGCCGTGATGCTCCAGATGACGAACAAATTTCCAGGGCAGCCCAGGAGAAAGATGAGGCTGAGGATGAAGGCACCCATAGATGTGGCTACTGGATTATCCACAATGGTTTCATTTCCTCCGGTGGTGTTTATCAAATTTGAACAATCTCTGTGGGTCATCTTTGTTTCCTGTCAAAGAGAATGATTCATTCGGTCACTTTATTACTCCCTTTTAACAAGAATACAGAAAATAGGGACAGCATCTCAGGGCTGCAACAAGAATATGGCAACAAAAAATAACAAATAATAGTAAAGGTCTTCACCTTCTCCCTCATGTTTTATCTGACTCGAGTGCCAGGCTTAAAAGCCTGAATTTCATGCAGGAAAGTGTGGGAGTGTGGCGCAAGTGCAACAGGTTTTAACTGAGACTCTTAATTCCTCAACAAACGAGACCAGACATGAGTGGAAAGCACCAGTGAGTGTGTTGGTGTCAATATTTAAGCAGAGATTGTACTTTAGTCTTCTGTGCTCCTTCTCTTCAGGGTCATTGACGGAAGATGATTTTTGCACAAACAAACCCAAACACAACACAAAAAAAAGAAATATACTGGGAAGCTTCAAAATACATTCAGGAGAAAATAGTATTAAAGCATTAAAATAGTATAAAAGAGTATTAAATATACACTAAAAATAATATGCACTGTATGAGAAGTGTGTGGATACATGTGGATAATCACTTTCTTTTTAATTTTTCTGACAATTAATTAGTTTACAGTCTAAAACTATGTGAAACTGATGCTCATTTTAGAGGACTGTGCTGTGGCGCAGACTACTGGCCAAGTGGTGAATAAATCACAGAGATGATCTCTTTTTAACTAGCTGCAAAATTTATGCATTATTCCAATATATTGTTTATCATTGCCCTGTGAGAGTAACGCAGTCTCGGCATATTCATAGCAATGGCATTGAAATGAACAGTCGCTTGTTGATATAATGTCTTGGTGCTAACACACGTGTGTTCAAATGTGAAGTATATAAGTATTAATAAGCTTTCAGAATTTTACTTAAACCAAGTTTTTTTTTCCATTTGTTAACAGGATAATAACTTCAGTGAATGCATTTTAACACCGTGTTAGTTCATTTGAGCCTAAGTTGCATTGAGTTGGGGTTTGGATCCTTGACTGCTATTTATTTATGCATTTATTTATGCTTTCAGTTATGTGATATTGTGCTCTCTCGTTCATATCTTGTCTATTATTTGTAGTGGTTTCATCAATATTTCTATGTGTGCCTTTCTATGCCTTCTGTATACCTTGGTCCATTTTTATTTCCTTGTCTGCTACTTCCTCTTAACCTCTTAATATTTCTATCTTCCCTCTGTCCTTTCTTGTGGTGTAAAAATAGTATAATTACCTTGTAATTTCTGCAGTAACTGACCGCAGGGAGTATTGGCCCTGTTGTACTGAGACAGTTTTATTTTGGGGGATTTGTTGAAGTAAACTAAGGTAATAAAATATGTTTATGTATATCTAATATTTACAGCCCTTGAGACATTTATACATTAGCAGAGACACTTTAATGTGTGAA